AATCTTTGTTCCCTTCTTATTTTGTGTTGCTTCTTAATACAAGAAGACGCAACAACACTGAACATGCTTTTTCAAAGGCACCTAAGATTTAAGATAGCAGGAAATGAAGTTCAATACTCATTATTTCCTGTTTAAAAAAACCATGCATATAATCAAAGACTGCTGTTCTTCTGAATACCTACAAATGCACAGGCCATCTTCTATTTGAATTGGAAAGGAAGAAAGTAATCAAACTGGGTACTTGTTTCCAAGCTACTATATCTCACAGCAGAGAGATTGGAAGTGGCGTGGGGTTTCAAGACAGGGTTTCTCTGTGCAGTCCTGGCTGGCCTAGAACTCAATCTGTAAAGTAGACTGGCTTCAAACTCACAGAGATCCACCTGCCTCTGCCTCACAAGTGCTGGGATTAAAAGTGTGTGCTACCACCGCCTGGCATGCAGGTAGATGTTTGCTCTCGATCAGAGCAGTTATAAAATGTTAACCATTGTTGAAGTGGTACACCATCACTCTCAGATTTTCACAAAGCAACAGAGGAAAAGAGAACATCACACAGCCTAGAGTTTCAAGCCTTAGACATTTCTTTTCATAAAGAAAATATTATCCCAACTGTCATTATAGCACATAGCATGCCTTTTTTCACTATCTCTTTCCACTGGATCTAAGTAGTTAACTGTAAACCAAAGGGGGGGAAAAAAAAGAAGAAAACTACTTGGAACAGAAGAAAATAAAACTGAGGTAAAAATCATCTTTTGACCAGCCTCTGGTACACGAATGTAAGTTCTTACCATACTCTCTCTAAGCACTGAATTGGCTTATTAGCAAAGGCCACTTAAGCAAGAGGCCGAGTATGGCCCCGTCTAAGATGTGGCTTCCTGTCCTCTCTGGCAACACTTGGCAGGCGTCACTGTGAGAGATGACTCAGCTGGCAATCCTGTCTCTCACACTGTTCTCTCTGGTTATCTGAGAAGACTTTTAGATGCATTTTTAGCAAGTATTGGCTTATTTATACTAAAATGTATTAACTTAGGTGACTAAATTGATATCAATTATTTCTTGCTATAAAATACTACATAGGGTATCATCAGTAACCAAATAACTGATCCCAACTATACTAGTACTGATGTATATGTTATATTATATTATATTATATTATATTATATTATATTATATATTATATTATATTACTGACAATCTATAGCAAAACTCCTACTGGACATGTGGCTATAGGCAAATGGTAGGAAGGGCTACAGCCAGGACATAAAAAGTGTAAATAGAAAACATCCTACAATAAAAACTATTTAGTCGAATTACGGTAACCCTCCAAATACAAGTCGCCATGCCTTAGTCTTTAGCTTTGGGTTTTTTTAAGTCTTTAAAGTGTGAAGGAGTTTTGCCAAGAAAATGTTCTACTTTAAATTTTATGATTCTTTAATATATTATGAGCAAAATTATTATTGACTCTCAGAAGATATGTAAGGATAACTAAAGATGAAAACCAGCACACAAAAGAATTGTGTAAATTTGAAAGCAGAACTAAGCTAATTTTCTAGCTTGTCTACAATTTATTAGTTTCACAATAAAAATCAATACAGTATTTTAAGCTGTTTAATGGCATGAAGCATTGATTAACTGAAACTTAGTATGTCTTAGTGTACAGGCTATTAAGTGTACAAAGCCTTTTAAGACCTAATTTCATCTTAGCAAGCACAATGTATGTAGCTCTTAATTTTGGCAGGTAAAGGACATGCAATCAAAGTTGCCAGCTGGGTCTAGCCAACAACTACAGTCATTCCGAATACTGTGATCCATGGGACCTAGAGTCTCCGCTCTGCAGACCTGTGTTAAAACTATGCTACCAGCTATGCATGCTTGTGTGGGTTCACATCGTAAAGTGACAAGAAACTAGAGTCATGGATTCCCTCTAGGTGGGTTCTTGAATGTCATACATTCCTGGGACAAGATGATTTATGGAGTTGTTTTATGTGGCATCTAGCATGTGTGTAAAGGGTCCCTCATTCCTCTCTCCAGCTCAGATCTTACCCTAATGTCAGTCCTGGGTCTCCAGCCACTGAAGGGACATTTCCCCCCGTAGACTCCACAGGCATCCTGAGCTTGCTTTGTGTCAACGCATCTCACTCTTTCCCCTTCCACCTGCCTTCTCCTAGTTCTTTTTACACCTAGATGTCTTGGGAGTCCAGCTACCCTATTCCTCCTTCACATTTCTGAAGCTCTCAGTACGCAGACGAAATTCCTCTTAGACATATATCCCCCCTCTCTCAAACCTCTGATAATTGTTTCTTTTTCTCACTGTACCTTCTTTCAAACCACCCCCACAATGCCGTCAGGACGACTGAAAAGGAAAGCCTTCCTGCTTCCTCTCTCAGCACTCACGTGCCCTGTGTCACCTGTCACCTGCCCTGTGTTCCCTTCCACTCTACACTCAGTCTCTTACAGCAGAGCATGTTCTTAGCACATGCCCGGTCTTCCACCAGAGCCCCTCATCCGCCCCTCATCTGGTCCCAGGTGTGGACTAGCTCCATACGTGACTGTGAAGACCCTTCCGTCAGGGCTCTCCAGGACCTGTCACCATGCTTCCCCTGTAGTTTCATTTACTGGGATTTCAGATCTCCGTGGAGACTCCACAGTAACTCCGGACTCTTTCTTTTCCATCTAGCCTTAGAGACGCCCATGCTTTGGGGAGCCTCAGTCTTCCTTCCCTCTTCTCCACAGCAGTGACAAGTGTCCCCTATGTACAACGATGCCGTGACAACACTTCTCTAACAGCACTCCTATTGTTCTGTAACTGGTAATTTGATTTTTCTCCCTCATGCTGTGAGCATCCTGAAATCAAGGGCCTTATTGTACACTTACTGGAATCCAGAACAATGCCTGATGAATGGAAAATTTCATTCGGCGAACAGTATTTCCTGACTACAATAAATGTGATGTGACCACAGCGCACGGTTGTTTACAGTCACTCTGATTCTTGAAAGCAACAAGTCTTTACGTCAAGGCTATACTTGCTGGTTGCCAGGTGGTGGTGGTACACACTTTTAATCCCAGCACTCAGGGGGCAGAGGCAGGCAGATCTTTGTGAGTTTGGGGCTAGCCTGGTCTACAGAGTGAGGTTCAGGTCATCCAGGGCTACAGAGTGAAACCCTATCTCAAAAAAGAAAGCAACATTCAACACTTTTAAATTAATAGCTATACATAGACTTTCTCTCCTTTTAAGGCAAAAATTGTCAATGTATGACCATTTTAAACATTTTTTCTAGCTTTTAAGAATTATAATTGCTAGCCGGGCGGTGGTGGCGCACGCCTTTAATCCCAGCACTCGGGAGGCAGAGCCAGGCGGATCTCTGTGAGTTCGAGGCCAGCCTGGGC